AGGATTCCTATATATTCCTAAAGGAATATATAGGAATCTTATAAGACATTTTCGTAAGGGTTCCTCTTCATTTTCCTGTTTTCTAGTCTCCCTCCTTTCCTCCCTCTCGCTTCCTTTTACACTCCCCTCCCTAATCCTTGAATTGACTCTTTGCTTGGTTTTCATGGTCACATCTTTGGAGTTTCAATAGTGTGAAAACGATCATCCGAATGTTGACCTAGTTGTTCCGTGTATCTTATTACCTTTCTTTAAAGCCATTTAGCGCCATGGAGAAGCTCAAGTGCCATTTGGCAGAGAAATGGGATGAAGACAAGAGTCATTTGATTTGATCACGACGTTCGAAGCGTCTCTGCAGGAGCGGATGTGCTTATGAAAAGTGTGCGCGCGTCAAGCAAACATTAAAGACCTCCTGACAATGAAATCAGGATCTTCAAATTACTCTCGGTGTACATAAAATTAATAAAATCCAAGAAAATCAAACCACAGTACCTTTGAAGGATACTGTGTGATTGGTTTTCTTGGAAAACTGAATGCCAAGTACCTCTAAGTTTGTCTAGAGGAAAAACCGGAAAGAAATTCCCTTTTCATTCTGGTCACCTGTCAGAACCGACCGAATTTAAAAAGTCTCCCTTGTGGCCGTATCACACGGGTTTCGCTGTATAATGCATCACCGATCCCCCTAACTGGACGGAGAATAAAGCATGCATTCGTATTTTTGTTGAGGTCATCATACGCTCCCTAAATCGGGTCATCATTCGGAATAAGAATTCCGATCATAAAGTTCCAGGACTCTATTTTTAATGGAACTGTGCTGACTTTCCAGTCACTGATGGCTCTCTTTCGAAGTAGCCCCTCATCTTTGGCATCAACACAAATTCACCAACATTTCTTCACTCGTTGTTGGTACTCGTATTTTGGAACCGCCAGCAGCGCTCTCGTCTCCGTTGCCATGCTGCTTTGATTGTCCTGAAATCTCATTCCTTTCAGCGCACCTCGTCGTCGGCGATCCCTTGAGGTCGAGGATGATGTCTTCCACGGGATTGGTGGCTCCGCTGATGGCTGAGGAGGCCAATCCTCAATCCGCAAGTCCTATGGCAGATGTAGCAAATGGTGCTCAAGGGGAGGATTTGGCCACGATGTTCTCGATCTTCTTCCTTCTCCTTCTTCCTTTGCCGTTTTTCTGCCTCCAGGGCGAGGCGATTCTCTTCGAAAAGAGACACACCATTTGACACAAGTTGTCTCCATCGGGATCTGTTCTGGGCTTGTTCTTCCCTGCTCGTGATGTCGATACCGCTTGACTTGACTTGAGGCATGTTTGGAGAGTGTCCTTTGGCTCCCACGAGTTCTCCGGCCTTGGCTGAGTTCATTGTAGAGGATTTGCTTTGGGAGACGTTCGTTGGACATGCGCACACAGTGGCCGGACCATTGAAGTTGATGCTTGATGATCATCTCTTCAATACTTGCTTCCGCGAGGACACTATCATTCGTGCGGTGGTCTTCCCATTTGATTCGAAGAATCTTCCAGAGGCTCTGTTGGTGCTGCCGCTCTAAATATTTCAGGTGAATTCGGTAGGTCACCCAAGTTCCACTGCCAGTAGTATGGGAATGACAACGGCATTGTCCACAAGTAGCTTCGATAGGGTCCTGATGTCTCGATCGTTGAACATATGGTGACTCAGTCTCCCGAAGGCAGCACTCGCGCATTTTATCCCGTGCTGGATCTCCTTGTCGATGTTGGCCTTCTGCGAGAGATGATTGCCGAGGTATGGAAAGTGTTCGACGATCTCCAGATCCTGTCCATTGATGTTGATGTTTGGCGGTTGGGTTTGGATAACCTGGTGCTGGTCAGTAGAGTATCGTCGTCTTCTTGATGTTGAGGGATAGACCAAGGCACCGGCACGCATCCGAGAGGCAACTCAAGGTCAGTTGTAGATTTTCCTCAGACTTCGCAACGACGGCGCAGTCATTGGCGTATTGAAGGTCAACGATCGTGGTCAATGTCACTTTGGTTTTGGCGCGGAGTCTGGAGAAATTGAAAGGCTTTCCGTCCATCCGGTACACGATATCGATTCCAGGTGGAAAACAATCGCGAATGAGTATCAATATGACTGCAAGAAAGCTGGAGAAGAGGGTAGGGACGATCACGCACACTTGCTTGACACCGATTTGTATGACAAGGGGTTCCGTCTCGGAGCCGTAGCATAGGAGTAATCTGGGTGTGAAGAAGCCTGAGGATGGCGATGAATTTCCGTGAGCAGCCAAACATAGCAATGACCTTCTAAGGCCTCGCGGTTGATGGAGACAAAGGCTTTAGTCAAGCCAATGAAGGCCATATACAGCTCTCGATGTTGTTCGCAGCATTTCTCCTGGATCTGTCAGGACACGAAAATCATGTCCGTGGTGTCTTGTGATGGTCTGAAGCCGTACTGTGATTTCGGGAGGACTTCTTCAGCAAGAGGGAGGAGTCAGTTCAGCAGAATTCGGGCAAGGATCTTCCCAGCACTGGAGAGCAGGGCGATGCCACGATAATTTCCACAAACAGACTCATCTCCCTTCTTGAAGATGGTGACGATTGTCATATTCCTGAGGTCTGCATGGATTTTCTCCTCGTTCCAGATTCCGAGGAATAGCGCGAGATTTTGCGGGTCAGTGGTTCTCTTCCGGCTTTGAAGATTTCGGCCGGGAAGCCGTCAGGACCAGATGCTTTGTTGTTGTTCATCTGTTTCAAGACCCGTTGGACATCTCCGATGAGTGATCTACTGATCAGCGAGGTTGTCTCTCATTGGGTGCTGATGGATGGACATTAAGGTTTTGTCCTCCACCGTGGATTCGTGATTTAGTAGGGTTTGATCATGTTCTTCTCTCATTCATATCTCATTCCTTTTTTAGCGCACCTATTAGCTTTCTGGGAAGAGAATAAATCACTGGGAGCAAAGTCCAATGAGTTGGGTGGATGCTGAAGCACGGGATTGGCCAGCGCGGTTGGCAAGAAATTGTCCTACAGGGAAGAAGTGCTTCTCCTTCTTTCGTATGGAAAATAGGAACTTTGTAGGGTAATACTGTGACAAATAAATTATAAGATAATCGGGAGTGTTGAGATCCAGTCGATGGTGCTTCAGTGGTGATGGAGCTTCCGGTGTTGCATGATGTAATTCGGTAGTACCACCACGGAAGGAGTATATGGCAGTCGTTGACCATGGTTTGAATTTCGCCCCATTGACATACACCTTTTCGGATTGAGTTGGTATCTACCTACTGTGGAGAACGGAGAAAACACAAGCTTTCCAGACGAACCTGTAGATGTCAAGCCTGCTGCTCCGCAAGTTTGTTGGGTGGATCTATTAACACTTCACCTTCCATCCACAAGGTGTCTTGCCTGTACTTGATGGAGGCGCTCCTAGGGGGGGGAGGACCAATTCAATCCGAAACGAGTATAGTGGTGAATCTTTAATCCGTCTTTTGTGCAAAGCATTTGCACATCTACCGTGTGAAGTTCTAATACGGTTAATGGCGCTCCAATGTTTGTGTCGAAGCAAGAAACCATGAGGCTCGGATGTAGTGTCAAAGATGGGGCTCTTGTTCTTTGCCTCAGCGTCGTTCCATAGTGTTCTCCAATGTTCATCCGGTCCGGTGCTGGTGGATCGGAGTGCTTCACCTGCAAACCAGAATGGTCTGCGGGACTTAAGGCGTGCGCGTAGTGGTCGGCTGATGTCATGGAGCAGAGTTGATGCGTTTGAGAGTGCTTTATTGTACTCTCGTAGTGTTGCCTCATCGCGCCTAATGGGTGGGGGAGCGATGTTGGCGAATACAGGAAGCCAAGGCAATGGGGCCGATTTGACGGTTTCGCTGATAGCGCGCATGGGTGCGTGGAGCTGCGTGTCGACCAGGTGGGTGTGTGAGTTTCGGCCCACACTGGTGAGTACGCGGCTCTTCGTTCTGCTGCTCACCTGTTTGAGGTATTTTTGGTAGGTGAGAGTCTCGGTCCAATGTAATCCCCAGGTAGTGAGAGTAGGGATCATGCTTGATCATGCTTGATTTTGGGTTAAGAAGCTCATGGGCTCATGATATTTTTTTCTACCCAGGAAGGGGAATAGAACGCAGAAATGAAGCGCTGTGGTCGACTACAGTGCCCTTTGTCGACACGAAAGGCCATCTTGCTGCATTTCGGAAAATCTATTAAACTCATTTTCCTGTCAGGTATCAGCTGTCCCTTGAAAGTTATGGCCAATCAAAATAGGGTGCTGACTTCATAATGACATTGTAGTTAGGAAGGTAGCATCTGTGGGTTGGGGGGTCTTGATGCGCCCCCATAACTAAATTAAAACTCTACTTTCTCGGTCTCCGCTTGAAGTACAGACCAACATTATCTCTTGGATATTCCTAAAGTAATCCAAACGTTTGCTAAATTTAATTGAATTCTGAGATGGTTAAGCGAAGATCATTACTTCATGTAAGGTGGAATAATCCACCTCTTAACTGCATTAATGGGAATTTCGAGGCTTAGACAAGGGTGCGAGGGACGAGGGAAAAAATTGACAAGCATCTCAACACCTTGTAACTGCCCAATGTCAATTGTATAGCCAATGTATGAAGCCATGCACTTATGAAGCCGTGCACTTATGAAGCCGTGCGCTTATGAAGCCATGTTATTCCCAAAGAAAACGATCGGGCACTTTCCATTAATCATATATATGTTTATTTTATTTACCTTTTATCAAGCGGATGGTTCATACTCACCCTGGAATTCTCCTCGGAAGCGCTTTGTGAGCTCTCCACCCGCTAGGTTCACTAATAGTACTTCATCTCTTTCTGCAAATCGCTTCGCTATCTCCTTCACAATAATAGTCTTTCCAGTTCCGGATCCTCCTGCCATGGGAAGTAACCATGATTTTTTTTTTTCTCTGAGGTTCCCTGTATGGCTTGTAATGATCTTAATCTGCTCTGGTGTCAAAAAGCACAATGTTTCCTTCATTCTGGCACCACATGCTTCACGATGCTCCTGCCGATTCCGCGGCATTCCAATGCAAGAAGATGCGCAAACATATAGGGAAAATATGTCATGAAATACCTTGAAATAGCCCTTCGCATTGGGGTCTGGGAGTTCTTTCACTCCATTTTCTTTCAGAAACCGTTGAAAGGCGTCTTTACTCTGGATATCGTCTTTTGTCAAAATCCTCTTCAGACACGACTCACAAATCGAGAATTTGCGCATACCACTCCTATCAATAAATGGAAAGGCGGGAAAGGTGAAAATCATTGCAGTGTCATCTAGGTCGCACACTGTCTGGAACACAGTTCTGTCATCATAGCACCTATGAATTGAATCAGTAATGCGCCTATTGACCTGAAGCTTATCTTCTTCTGAACGAGATACATTAACCTGGAAGAATATGTTGAATACCTTCGATTTACCTCGGTAAGACAAGAAGATGCCACGGCATTCACTTTTTATGAATTCCGGTTTCACTTTGAAAAGTTTGTTTCTCTCATCATCCGGCATATTCTTCATGGCTGTTGTGAATATCTCGTTCTGATTGAATGTTTCAGAGATGACATAATCAGCAACCACCAAAGATGGAGCATCACCGCAAAGTTTTTTCGCTTGTTGAAAAACAGTAGTAACAGCTATGTGCATCGGGGGAAGATCCACATCTTTTCTGTCAGTCAACTTCTTTTCCTCCTGCTGAAGAATCTTTAGCAGTTCTTTGAAATCATTTTCTTTGAGGTGGGCGTCTGAAGGTAGGGAAAAGTGTTTTTCATCTGCTTCAGGATAATACTCTTTAAGATAATCAGTTTGTGCCTCAGTGAAGGGTCTTTCCTTGCCGCCGCCAAAGTTTACCTGCATTAAATGGATGCTGATGAATCAATGAAACTCTGGAGTTTTCATCTATTAATAATAACAAGACATGATTGGAGACAGGGCTTGGGCATAGAAGTAGTGCATTGTGTTAGAAGGGGTGTATTGTGGATGGTAAAGTAAAATTACATTATTTTCATGAATGCTCTTACACATTTTCTTCATTTTAATTTAATTTCATTTTCTATAAATTTTCAGGGATAAGACTGGTCCATTGTGTGCTGCCTTTGTATGACGAGGTTATGCTCCAGAGTGAGATTATAACTAGCAATACTGCCCCGAGCTACACATGCATTACTTCTCACTTTTTGCATGTGCTGATCAGATCGCAAAAATGGCTTGCATAAGATTTCCTATTTATTGTGCTTTCGTTTTCTGTCTTGGATATTGACAAACCCTTCAACCCCTACTTCAATTTAATTCAGGTTATTAAACTGTTATCGAAGTCAAAATTGATTTATCAGTAATGAAGGATCCTAATCACAGAATTTTTGTTTCACTCAGTTCCTACTGATTAGCTCAATTGTTAACCCTTCATGTGAATAATATAGCCTATGATACTGACCTGGAGGTTCCCCAGAAAGTTGCTTCTGAATTCGTTTCTAAGCTTCCGTCGTTCTTCATTACATTCCTCTTGTAGGTGAAATATGTATGTACTCATAGCAGGGCACACGTCACACCCCTACAGGAGACGAATTTCGGAGCACGTAGAGACGTCGAATTTTTAAACGATTTCCTATGAAGCTTAAATATTATTAAAGTAAAGCGTACCTTGTCTTCCAAGGTAATAAAAGTTCAGAGTAACGCAAGCTCAATTGAAACACGTTTTTCATGGAACATTTATCTTGAGGCCTTCCTTAAAGTTTGATAAAAAGTCTTGCAATTTCTGGAGCAGTCAAACTATTCAATATATCATACGACCAATCCTTGAAGCATTAATACTGTCCAGCTTCGGTCATATTAACCATGAACTGCATCATACCTGAAAGACTTGGGACAAACATTCGCATTCCTTACATTCCATTGAATATATGATTATAATATACTTTGCATGAAAGTGTGGAAACTCCGTCATTTCATAATATGAATTTTTGAAGAAGTTTGCCAAAATAAAGAAAACTACAGCTGGTTGAATTATTCAAATAAAATTTAAAAAGTTAAATTCGGATATCTAATATACAGTGAGGGACAAAACTGTTGCAATGTTCGACACATTGTTTATGACTCATAACTCGAGTATGACGAGTTCAATTTTATATAAATTTCAGTCAATCAAACTGAAATTTCCTGGTTTTGGATTGGTGCTAATCACATGTCAATTGGCCCCCTATTGTATGAGCTGCAGCTGTTGAAAGCTAACCAGGTCATTGCAACAGTTTTACGTCCACGTTCTACGTCCCATGCTTTCCATCCACGATATAAAAAACCCCCCACAGTCTCCCATTTCCCAAATGAAACCTAGCCAGAAGCCACCTAAGCAAGCCTGTAGCTTGCCTAGGTGTAGATGTGGTAGGCTTGGGTGGGGTTGGGATCCATTTGAACGGTCCTGGCAACATGAAACCTCTTTCCCAACAAACTCGCGACAGCATCGCCTCACTCGTCGACTATGGCCTCTCGACGCGTCGAATTGCAGCCCAGCTTGGCATAAGCTATAGAACCGTATCCCGGGTGCGTTCCCAAGTCAAACCCGACGCATCAAAGAGCAATGGTGGGCGTCCATCCAAGCTTTCCGCCAAAAGCTTGGATGCTTTTCCATCGAAGCGCAGTCATTAGGATGGTGACATCGGGTCAGGTTGACACAGCAGTGCAAGAGACGAGGCAGCTACAAAGCAGCACCTTGGTAGAATGCAGTGCCAAAGCTGTTCGCAGAGCTCTGAAAGAAGCTGGTCTGAGGGCAACAACCAAGCGAAAGAAGTCGCAACTCCAGCCGCGGCATACCCGACAGCGGCTAGAATTCGCCCGCCGCCACCAACACTGGAAACTGGAACGGAGACTGGAAACGCATAATTTGGTCAGACGAGATAAAAATCAACCTTATGAGGTCGGATGGGCATGATTGGACATGGAAACAGCTCGGCGAAGCCCCAGCAGAGCGGCATGCGAGGGAGACCCGCAATTATGGTGGAGGTGGCCTGATGTTTTGGGGCTGCATGACGGCCAAAGGAGTCGGGTTTGGCTGTCAATTCCAATGAAGAATGGAAGCCAGGCTCTATACAAGCATCCTCGACGAAAAATTGCTCCAGACACTGACGCATAACCGCCTCGAAGTGGAAGAGGTGGTGTTTCCGCAGGACAATGATCCGAAACACACCTCGCGGCTGGCTCGCTAATGGTTCCAGGACCATGGAATCGAGGTCATTGAATGGCCAGGACAGTAACCAGACCTCAACCCAATAGAGCACTTGTGGCAACATTTGAAGCGGAGACTGGCGAGGTTAGAAAATGAAGCCGTCAGCATCCACGAGTTCTGGTAGCGGGTCAAGACTGAGTGGAACGCCATTCCAGTCCAAACGTACTTGGATTTGATTGAAAGCATGCCTAGAAGGGTTCAGGCAGTGTTGAAGGCCAAAGGCAAGAACACAAAGTATTAATAAATTCGTTTTTTCGTATGCCTGAGTGAAAGGGACAAATCTGTTACAATGACCTCGTTCGCTTTGAACAATTAGCACTGCATGAGGGATACGAGCGGAAAGCGCTGCGCACGGAATGAATTGGTTTCTCAGTAAGGAGACGCTTGTTCCGTGCGAAGCCTTGCAGCGGGTAGCCCGGTCTCAAGCATGCCTAGAAGGGTTCAGGCAGTGTTGAAGGCCAAAGACAAGCACACAAAGTATTAATAATTCGTTTTTTCGTATGCCTGAGTGAAAGGGACAAAACTGTTGCAATGACCTCGTTCGCTTTGAACAATTGCCACTTAGACAATAGGAGGCCAATTGACATGCGACTAGCCCCAATCGAAAGCCAGGAAGTAGGATTATGATTGACTGAAATTTAATCTAAATTGAACACGTCATACTCGAGATATGAGTCATAAACTGGCAATGTGTCGAACATTGCATCCGTTTTGTCCCTCACTATATATGGGAGATTGTGACAGACCATGCGACTGACTGACAATAATTTTAACCATGTTCTAAATAGGATGGAGGAATGAAACTTGGTACATAAGTACTTATTGCGATGTTGAGTTCGGAAATTTTCAGACATTGGAGGTTGATGCCCAGGTATCACACAAAGGTTTTCAAAAAAATTTTTTGCGTCAATCAAATGGAGAGACATGGAAAGCTGAAACTTGGCATGAACATGATTACTGACACTGAGTTCAGGCGTCGTATATAAAAATAATTGCCGCATTATCCATTTTAGGAAGACGTTGATGTGATGGACTAGAGTTGAGAATGTTCGCAGGCAAAGCATATGAATTATTTCTCTTCTCAGATATGTTCCTATCTTGGGATCGTATCGACTTATAGTCCAAGTAAGGGAATTTCTTACGTGTCTGGCGCAGTCGGTAGGATATGAAATTTGTCAAAATTTCTGGTCTCTAAATTGAGCGGACTGGTTTTTGCACTTATTTCGGAGAACTAAATACGAAATGGCCAAGGAACACGTCACGTCAGTTTTTAAGGACATAGTGTCCTCGATTCCTGAATTTACCGGTGAAAAGGGAAGTATCCGTGTACAGGATTTTATTGACAAGGTCACTTTGGCTAAGAGTCTTGCAGAGTGGAAAGACGAACAAGTAATCAATATTGCGAAATTTAAACTCGGTGGAACGGCAGCGGATTTCGTTCGTGCGGACAAGACAATTAGAACAAAGAATTTCTCTGAATTGTGTAAAGGTCTTAAAGGGCATTTCGAGAAACCTCAGACCCTGTCAAGACTTACCCATAGACTGGGAGAGCTCCATCAGTACTCCGATGCAACATCGGGGGCGTTTAGGACACGAGTTCAGGAAGTAGCTCGAAGAATCGAGAACGTCAGCGGGAAGAGTGAATTGTTAAAGGCTATGAGGTTAACGCAATATATCAACGGGTTGCGTTCTTTGAAACTCCAGAAATTTCTAAGGTGGAAGGATCCGCAGGAATTACATCAAGCAGTAGAATTGGCAAGAAAGGAAGAAAGCAGAGATAAGGTCGCAAAAAGGACGCTTTTTATTTTGAGCTAGCGTGCAGATTGACCAACGGGGCCCCACCTCTCCCGTAATGTCAGTCCCAGCGAGGGATCCGAAAATTGAGCAGGGGTTCAAGAGGTGTTTCAAACATTTCCAGCAACTTAGTCGCCCCAAAAGGCCTCTTCCCATTCCGCTAAGAAAGGAACTTCATGGGACAAAAGTGACCTCAGCCGTACCTCCCGAAACGATGCCGCGAGTTTGTTTCGTGTCATCAGGAGGGGCACTTTGCGAAGAAGTGCCCCAATCAACGGTAACGAAAGATCAGGACAGAGAAGGGATGTTTCCTTTGCAGGGGGCAGGATCACTTGAAAAGGGATTGCACGTGGAGGGACGTGAACCAGAAAAGGAGAAACTGGCAGAACCCCTCTTCCTCCCAACAATAAGTCCTAATAGAGGAGAGGACGAGGAGCTTAAATTTTGAAAGGACGCGTGAGTGGGGTTGATTGCTACTTATTATTAAATTCAGGTGCGAGAGTGAGTGTGGCAAGGTTAGAGTCATTCCCTGTAGAGGTCGAGAAGTAGTTGTGGAGATTGGACACAAGGCAGACCCTAGTAGGCCTAACAGGCCATGAAGTAGGAACGTTAGAGTGTTATGAGATGGAAATTGACGTGAGTGCCCTGAGACGTTTCGACATCCCGTTTGGTTAGCGAGGAGTTTGAATGGGTTGAATGTAGATATAGTTCTGGGTCAGGTTGTCCTGCGCGATAGGGCAATTGATGTTTTCATGGCTCGGAGGGAAGCCAGATGTCAGGGTCGAATCCTCCCGTTCCTGGACAGGAGAAGGGACGACAAGAGAAATTTCTCTGGTGCCCTTCCTGTCTTTCCGTTGAGAGTCCATAGGTTCAACGTGGGCACGAAAGTCCGTAGTCCTCTATGGCAGGGCATTTCTCGTAGTCACTGAGCATGCGCCCTTGAGGTGGCTTCTGAAAATGAGGAAGTCGACAAATAGCCAATTGGCACGTTGGAGTATTCTGCATCAGGATTTTGAGTTTGACTTTATACATAGGCCGGGAAGGGTCCATTCAAACGTCGCTGCTCTCAGCAGGATCCGGCTGCCAGGACGAGATGATGAGTATAAGTCAGTAGACAAATTGGAGTCTAGAATCAACCTCGTTGAGGTCGAAGATGAGAATGAGGATACTGAACCAAATGGGGACAGCGAAGTAAAATGGGAAACAGCATACGACTTGCAGAGAATTAGCCATGAGCAGAGGCTAGACCATAAAATCAAGGCATTAGTGACTAGATGCGAGCAGCGGGATGAACGGGGAGGCGGCGACAACTCGGAGTATTTTGTCTATGCAGACGTGTTGTATCGAAAACACCTGCCCCCTTCCTATCGTCCGAACCAGGAAGTTCGTGAGCGAGTTGTCGTTCCTAGCAGTATGGTTAGGAAGGTGATAGAACTAAACCATGTCCCTCCCTTGTCAGCCCATTTTGGTTATAAGAAAACCCTCCACCGAATCAGGCAGCAGTTCACGTGGGAAAGGATGGCTCAGGATGTTAAGAAATATGTAGCTTCTTGTCCTTCGTGTCAGGAGCGAAAGACAAGTCCCCATGCAAAACCATCCCCACTTCAGATTCACAGCTGTCAGCCAATCCTTCGAGTTGGTAGGCATGGACATTCTTGGGCCACTGCCATTGACAGCCGAAGGAAACAAATATCTGCTCCTGTTTAGCGACTATTTGTCCAAATGGGACGAGGGTGTGGTACTTCCCAATAAAAAATCGGAGACTATAGCGTGGGCGTTCATTTCAGAGATCATAGCCAGGCAAGGTGTGCCACAGAAATTACTCACGGACAGAGGCACAAATTTCCTGTCCTGTTTCCTGGAAATTCATTACTACCTGCGGAGAATACTGAGTTGAATGGGAGGAGAGAGACCCCGACCGATTCACGTGGGCACAAAAACATCGTAGAAAGGACGGCAGGGCAAGGCCAGGGTCAGGGAGGATACGCGATGTGGAGTCGTGGGTCCGTGCCCGACATGTCGTGAGTAATGCTTTCTTCTCGTGCCCCCAAGGTAAACCAAGAGCAAGGGCAAAAGCGAGTCCGCTGGGCGGATCAAGTAGGGCAAGATGATCCTGATATTTCAGAGGACCAGGACGCGGAGGGCGATTCTGAACTGGAAATTTTGCCATTGCAAGCCATAAGCCAGGAAAATGAGGGGGACGCCGTCGTTCCCTTGATAAATGAAATGACGGAAGGGTTTTACTCCAGATCTTCTGT